GACAGTCACTTTCTCATAATTACCTAAGCTCCCTGACTTACTGCTCGTCCTTTCTCCAGCAAAATCTCATCCCTGGATAAGCCCCACTTTCTATTGGCTCAGTGACACCACTCAGCTGAACCCGGAAAATATTAAAAAGTGGTCAAAGGTATCATCATGAATTCAAATTACTTACACAACTGGCCCTAAATATTTCCAGAAATCAATAAAAGTTTTATGTCTCCAATGACATAATTTCTTCAGAAACTCAACATGTACAACCAATTTTTTCTATGTTCTTCTAACTTTTATTCAACTTCTCTCCTCTGATATCTTGCCAAATCATTCAAGGAGAAAATATATCCTGTTAGGCAAGAGTCAATCATCTTCCAGTCACCTAAGAAATAATATGCACAGAATGCACCTACCTCATCTTTCTCTGTCTCATCATGTCAGAAAAAATACCCCTCCTTTTGTCACAAGGCAAATCTGAGATAGAAGATTTAGATGGCCTGTAATTCCGGTACTTGGGGAGGCCAATGCAGGCAGATTATTTGAGCCCACGCCTTTGAAATAAGCATACGCAACTTAGGGAAACCCCATCTCTAAAATAAATACAAACAAATATTTAGCTGAGCATGGTGGTATGGTGGCACATGCCTGTAGTCCCAGCTACTCAGGATGGGGAGCACTGGGGAGCACCTGAGCCTAGAAGGTTGAAGCTGCAGTGACACAACACTGCACTCCAGGAAGGGCAACAGATATTTTTAAAAGAATCTTCTCTGTTAAAAATAATTAGATAAACTGATGGCCATGAGGCTGAGGTGGCTCCAGTGTGCTCAGTTCTTCCTTAAACAAACCAAAACTTGACTCAGTGAAAACAGTAAAAGGAAACTTAAGATTAACCCATCAGAAACCACCAACTAACAACTAACTAGAGACTTTCCACTGTAATGATCCAAATGAGGCCATTGCTCCACTTTACCCAATCAAGCATTTTCTTTTTCTTCTATATTCACCATGTAAAATTCTTTCCACCCCAACCCTCCCCAAGCCTCTCCTTTGGAGCTCTGAGCTGCTTGCAGCCCGCAGCTGCCTGGTTTGTACATTTCTGGAAGCTCAACATGCCTAATGTTTGAATGTGCCTAAATTGTATCTTTTAACAGCTCTCATGGTTACATCATTCTTTCTAGAGCCTCAAGTTCTATCTCCTTCATTGGACTGATTCTTCAGTATGTTAACATGTTCTCCTCTACCATCGTAAAGACTCTCCTAATATGGGCAGTTTCTTACAAAACTATACATACTCCTATATGTGATGTAGCAGTTGCACTCCCTAGATCTTTATCCAAATGACCAGAAAGTTTATGTCCATGTAAAAACCTGAACACTTTTTAAAACAGCTCCCAAAACTTAGGAGGAACCAGGTTGTCCCTCAGTAGCTTAACTGATAAATACGACTGTGGCATATTTAGAAAATGAAATATTAATTACTTATAAAAAGAAACGAGCTACTGAGCCATCAGAAGACACTGAGGAGTCTTAAATGCACACTACTAACTGAAAGAAGCCAATCTGGAAAGTTACCTAACTCTATGATTCCAAGAACATAACATTCAGAAAAATGCAGAACTATGGAGCTGAAAAGATTAGTGATTTCCAGTGGTTAGGAAAATAAGGGACAAATAAATAGACCACAAGATAATTACAGTAGTGAAAATAAACTGCGGGACATAACAGGTATAATGATACATTCATTATACATTTCATTCTCCTTATATATTTGTGCAAACCCTCAGAATGTGCACCGCCAAGGCTATCACTCTGGGTGATGATGATGTGTCAATGTAAGTTCACTGACTATAATAAATATTCTACTCTGTTGTAGGAGGTTGTTAGTGGAGTGACCCAAGAGTGTACATGAATTGAGGGCATATGGCAACTCTGGACTCTGCACTCCATTTTGCTGTACACTTAAAACTACTCTGAAATAATAATATGTCTTTTAAAAAGTCTCCAACTGGTCTGAGCCAGTTCTATTAAAGCTCAGAAAATGCTGCTTAATAAGCTAGATCTGACCCAACTGGCAAGAAGAGGCAGGAAAGACCTAGGCCAGGGGAGTATATTGCAGATGCACGTGCCCCGAAACTGGAGGAAGCTTGGAGGCCCTTTAGCTTGGTCCTGAGCCCATTGAAACTGCAATTACAGGCACAGATGCTTGGGGCACCAATCTGAACCTTCCAGCATCCAAGGGCACATGAACACAAATGCAGAGTCTGCTCTGTGATTGGTAGCTAAGGATGTTAGGACACGATTGGACTAGAATGGGAGATGAACTGAGAACAACAGATTCTGTAGGCTTTTGTTGCCTCTTCCCACCCCTAAGCATTTCAATCTTTCCTTTTGTCACAGGCATCAAGGAAGCTCCCTGTGAACATCGACTGCACAGCCTACAGTTGCGTCACCCTTAGCCTCTTATGTCCTCCTACAGCAGTGTCAGTCAAGACATCCAACCTTGCAAACTCAAGAGTCTGCACATGGCCAAGATCATGTGGGGATGAGCCCAACCCCTCTGCTGATCTGCAGACAAATGCACCCTACCTTCTGGTCTTCTGCCAGCAACTGGAGGCCCTGGAAATTTCCAGACACACAACAGTGTTCTAAACTGCAGGCTGCTGCCCCATCCTATAGCAGAGTAGACCTTTTCTCCACCAGACTTGGCCTGTTATCCAGTTGAATAAAATATCTTTTTAACACAGAAACTAGTGTTCCTTGGCCCTGAACCCCATCACACGGTCTGCAGGTACACACCAGCCCTCGGCAAATACCACAGAATCGCGGCCTCAGGCCCTGGAGTGTGCACATTGGCTCTGCTTTCAGAAAACATCAAGATACTATTGGCAAGCCTCCTGCAGACTTTATGCAGAAAAATAAAAACAAAAACAAAACAAGTGATGAACACACACACACCCCCCACACCCATAGTAACTAACAGGATCTTCTTCCAGGAGATTTGCAGAGAAAGGAGCAGAAAACATCCCAGGGGCCTTTCACAGCTACTTCCTTGAGCCCCTTTTCAGACCAAGCTGTCTAGACCTGTCTCAGCCCAAGCAACGCCACCCTGATATACAGGAGCTAGCTTCCTTGCCTGAAATTCAACATTGAGAAACGATCTCTTCTACTTAACACTGATAGGAGTATCCTCGAGCGATGTCTTCATTGGCAGGGGTGAAGTTGGGGAGTTTCTTAAAAAGTGAGGCTTCTGCCCACCACCTAGAAAACCTGGAAATTTCCATCTATGCCATGAAGTCCAAATCACTGGCTGCTGCCCCAGTGTATGGCAGTGTATGGCAGATGAGAACATGTCTCCATCTAACACCATTAAAACTGGTCTTTATATGCCTCCTAATAAGAAAACACCACCACCTAGGAAGATGTTTGCTGAAAAATAAAAATCAAATTTAAATCCTATCCAACTGCCAGGTGTTTTGTCCATCGGGTAACTAGAAACATGTGGCTATTCAAATTGATCTTATTTAAGATGAAACAAAATTTAAAATTTAGTTCTCCAGACTCACTAGCCACATTTAAAGTGCTCAGCAGCCACAAGTAGCCACAACTCACACCTCAGATATACATTCTGCTCACCACAGAAGTTCTATCAGTATTGCTCCATACCCATTCACAGGAAATACAGGAGGGTCTGAGAAACTGCAGAGGGATGCAAAGCAATCCACAAAATCCAGAAGACAAGAAACTCAACAGACCAACCACTTGGTTTCTTAAATAAAATGTAACCAAAAAAAGAAATGGGAAGGAAGAATGTTGACTAAAAATTTTAAAAGAGAGACTAAAAAACAGTCATAAAAATCAGAAAGAAAAGGAAAGAATCACCATAAGAGGCTGGACCACACCTCTTTCTACAGGGAGGAAGAGGACCGTGGCTGGTGTCGCAATCAAGCAGTAAGGCTAGGTTTCCCAGCCTGAGTGCTGAGTACAGGGGTACTCACCTTCTGGCAACCCATAAAGTTAAACAATTGTTTTTACATGGTTTTCTACAGATGTATGAAATTTCACCATCAACAATGGTTCAATAAAACCTCATAAAGTGCATTATTACGTGGCCAATTATAACAGGCAGGATGAGAGCAACTGGGCCTCTATGAGAAGTGACATCTAAGCCAAGATGAACTGACAAAAAACAAGGCAGCCTTTGGAAGATCAGAACATTCCAGAAGAGAATATAGAGAAAGGGGCTGATGCGATGGCTCACTCCTGTAATCCCAGCACTCTGGGAGGTGAAGACAGGAAGATCACTCAAGCCCAGAGTTGGAGACTCTAGCTCAACATGGTGAAACATTGTCTCTACAAAAAACACAAAAATTAATCAGGCCTGGTAGCTCATGTCTATAGTCCTGGCTACTACGGAGGCTGAGGTAGAAAGATCCCTTAAGTCCAGGAGGTCGAGACTCCATTGGGCCATACCCTCATGCCACTGCACTCCAGCCTGGAATGCAGAGCAAGATCAGTCTCAAAAAAAATAAATAAATAAAAGAGAGAGTGAAAGAGAAAAAGTCTAAGAGGAGGGTAAGCTGTGGCAAGTTTCAATACTGAATGAATTCCAGTATGACTACAAAGTGGTGAGATGCAAGAAGAACATTTACAGGTATCACAGATTTCTGTATGCTTACAAATAGCAGAAACTATAAATGTTAACTCAGGGATGCTATGTGTATCCTAGTGATAAGATGCAAAATACATCAGATGTATAAAAACTTATGCGTGATGCTTCAAAATAAAGATTTGTGCGACTGTCCACACTGGAAACCTGTCCTATGTGGGCCGTGCACGTGGTCTAACTAAACTCAGATCATGTTATTGCTTAGGATGAAGTGCCCACTACAATATCTAGATGACCTGTAATCCTATAAAAAAAGGAAGCCAACAACAGGTAAGCAATACTGACATCAGATAATCTTATTCTAGAACAATTCTCTAATTTTCTGATAAATCAAACGTACCACCCCCTTACCTCCTCTAAATCCCAGTCAAGGGGCGCCTCCACAAGAAATCTGGAGCAGTCCAAAGAGGCAGGCTTGTGTTTACGCTCTCTGTCAGGCTGGTTGACGTGAAATAGCCCTCCAAGTTCTTCTCGGGTATCATCATCATCTTCTTCGTTATCTTCTGTCACTAAAGAGAACACCATGGCAGAAAAGTGAGAAAAGAAAAAAACACCTACAGCCCTAAGGACTCATTGTTTCCAACCATTTAGGCCATGAGTCTTGGAACTCAGGAACTGAGGGTCTCTGTCTGTGGGGGGTATGGCGATGGCCACATGAGTCAGCACTGAGAGGCCAGGTCAGCCACAAGTGAAGAGAGACCAGGAAGCTATTGCTTTACATGTGTGGGGGCTTCTGCGATCCTGCACGGCAGTAGCTAAGTGGTCGAGAAGGATTGAGAATATTAGGGATCAAGGGAGGAAAGCGACATTTAAAGGCAGAGCTTTAGATTACAAAGAAGAGCTCTAAAGAGTATTTAGCCTCTCATTACTAAGAGTACCTAGATAAAACCTGAATAAAAATCAGTACACAACAACCCTCCCATTTCAGTCTGCTAAGCCCAAATGTCTCACCATGTGGCCTTGATCTCATCGTGCAGTAACCAGGGAGCACAATATAAAGGTCACAACTATATACTTATTTTTGCATTAGTTCTACCACAAAGAACATATAGGAAAGTTTAATAAAGCATAAAATCAGAGGACAAGGGCAAAAGGGAGAACAAAATGTGTTACACAGAGTTATTCTCAGAAACAAAAAAAATAAATATTTTTATGGGCAGAAATATTTTTCTGGCATTAAATTCTACCAAAAAATTTCTCATGAAGGACTTTTAAATAGAGGACATAACATGATGCAATGGACGGTATTTGCATCAAGTTTTACAGCAAACCCATAAGTTTACTTCACAAGACCAATGTGTGTTCCTTGTAAGTTGATGATTAAAGACATCTGTCAAACAGAAAATGTGATGGCCAGAGATTATGGTTGTCAACAATACCAGCCCAATCCTCCAACCAATTCTCTCACCTCCTTTCAGAAAATAATCAGAGAAACTGAAACATTTCCAGGTCTGAATCTGAATTCTTTACCTGTCCCATAAATAAGCTTTCGGAGGTTTGGAGCTGCTTCCTGCTGCCTCAGAAAGGCCTCAGCTGCCTTTCTGGAAAGGTCTTCCTTCCACTTGAGGGCACCTGAAACGACCAACACCAACCTCCAGTGAGGCTTCTTTACGTGTCTCCCCTCCCTCAAGACCATCCACAATGCAGCATCTCAACAGTTACCAAAATCTTAAAAAAATCAACAGACCCCCAAATGTAGACATGCCTTTGGGTACCATTTCGAGAGCCAAGTTCATAGCAGCAACCAACTAAATTGAAGCTTTCCTGAAGTTTCTGTGGAATCATTTTTTTTCTTCCTTGTAATCTTCTTCCTCTTTGAGTAAATCTTCTTGATCACTGGTCTCATCAATTAAGTTCCTTGACCCCAGTTTCTGACCACTGCCCACCTGAAAATGCACGAAAGCTTTTTCCTAAGAGCCTCTTGATTTTCTGAGTCCTCTTCCTCTGCACTAAGTGAGGAGATTTCTTCAGATTCATCTTCAGATGCAAATGCATCTTCAGCTGTGCAATGCCCAGCATTGGAAGTGGTGAGTGCTGCTTTCTGCTTTTTGTTTTTTGTTTTTTTTTTGAGACAGAGTCTTACTCTGTCACCCAGACTGGAGTGCAAAGGCACAATCTCAGAGCATTGCAACCCCTGCCTCCCAGGTTCAAGCAGTTCTCCTGCCTCAGCCTCCCCAGTAGCTGGGACTATAGGCATCCACCACCACCCCCAGCTTACTTTTGTATTTTTAGTAGAGTTTCACCATATTGGCCAGGCTGGTCTCAAGTTCCTGATCTTGTGATCTGCCCACCTCAGCCTACCAAAGTGCTGGGACTATAGGCACGAGCCACGGCACCCAGCCAAGGGCTGCTTTCTTCATTGGCAAAGACTTCTCCAGATTCACACAGTCACTTCAGTGATTAGCTGGCGACAGCTCTGTTTTACTATGTTCTCCAACAGCCTTTGATCCTGAAATGCCCCTCTCTCCTGCAGAGCAGTCCTCTTCTTCACTGCTTTCATCAGCTTCCTCCGCTTCCCCTTCTTCTGCTGAGCTCCTCTCAAAGTCATCGTCGCTGTCAGCAAATGCTGGCAAATCTACTTCACTGTCTTCTTCTAACTCCTCAAGTTTCCGTCGTTTGATGCCCTTAGCAGTCATACACTCATCAGTCACCTCAGCATTTTCCTCCTCGTCTGCTTCCTCCTCACTAGAGCCGTTTTCCAACCCATCATCTTCAGACATTTCATCATCTTCTTCATTGTCACCATCTCCAGATCCATCTTCATTTCCAAAAACAGCTTTCCAATGCATTTGACCAGTTTTCAAGTCCATTTGTTTTTCCTCCTTTGGCATCAACAGCCTATATTATTACCAAGGAAATACAAAAAAAATCAATTTGTATATTAATCAGCTCATCTAGAAACAGTAATATAGTCAATGAAAATACAAAGAAACAGAAAATGTCAAGGAATTGTTTAAGATGATATAGCAGAGGGAAAAAATGATCTGATAAACATTGGAAGAGTTAATAAGCAAACTCAGGTGTGGTTTCTAATACCACAGTTCAAAAGAACTTAAAGAGAGAATAAAGAAATAATCCTTTTTTAAAAAATAAAAATAAGTCTAATTTTAGAAAAGATTTGCTCTAAAGGGAAGTTAGTGTTTTGTAGATCTTTTGGCAAGCTGATTAATTTCTAAGCTAAAAACACATGATCCTTAAGAGAAATGGCTGAGTCAGGACCAAGGCAGAAAGACAAAATGAGCATGGATCCTCTTTTTTCTGTCAGAAAGTAAGAAACATTCAAAGCCTAACAGAGATAGTTGAAAGGACACAGGAGACCAGCTGCAGGCTCCCACAGCTGAATCTGGGACAGCTTAGGCATCAGAAAGGATAATGTACTAATGGAAAATAACCCATGGAATAAAACGCAAGTGCATTAGTCAGCAGTGATACTGAAATAAAGGGGAGAAGTGAAAGCTCTTTGTTAAAAATGCCAGCTAACAAATGTAAGAGGAGAGACAGATGAAGAACATCCATTTTAAGTCACCAGTGCCATAATTGATAGCAAAGAATCATCGGGAGGCTAAAATCACAGGATGAAAGACAACTGCAAGAAGCTGTTTAACATAGCACTATATATAAAATTATAAAAACATAAATTAGAAAAAACTAAAAATCATACCATAAGAGATAAATGTTAGAATACAGCAATAATAGGCCAGGCATAGTGGCTCACATCTGTAATCCCAGGACTTAGGGAGGCCAAGGCAGGAGGACAGCTTGAGCCCAGGAGTTCTAGACCAGCCTGGGCAAAATAGTGAGAACTTATCTTTAGAAAACAATACAAAAATTAGCCAGGAATGGTTGAAAGGACACAAGAGACAGGCTAAAGGCTCCCATACTCCTGTAGTCCCAGCTACTTGGGGGACTGAAGCGAAAGGATCACTTGGGCCTGGGAGTTCAAGGCTCAGTGAAGCACAATCACACTACTGCACTCCAGCCTGGGAGACAAAGTGAGACCTCATCTCAAAAACAAACAAACAAATAGACACAAATAATAACAAAATGATAACTACATAAACACTGTATAGAAAAAGGAAATGCTCAGCATATAGAAACAAATTATGTATTTAAACTGTAACTACATTAGCAGGCAGATTTATTTGTCTATATTTTTGTAGACAAGGATGACTAGGAGGATGTGCAAAAATGATAATAACTCATAACACTCATTATAAGAGTGATCTTCACGCCTGTAGTCCCAGTTACTGGGGAGGCTGAGGCAGAACTGCTTGAACCCGGGAGGCGGAGGTTGCAGTGAGCTGAGATCATGCCACTGCACTCCAACTTGGCACCTGAGCAAGACTGTCTCAAAAAAAAAAAAAAAAAGTGATCTTTCCACAAACACTTCGTATCTGTCAGGCACTGTGCTAGTTTATGCACAGCGTAAGAAATTACATACTAGATAATCTCAAATTTTTCAGATGAATTTTAGTGGGACTCATAAATCAATACAACAAAACCATGTTTTACAAACATCCACTATGTATAAAGAAATACAAATTCCCAACCCAGACTGAAAAATAATTCACATAAGCCATACATCAGAGGAAACCTACCCACAGGAGATAATACAACATAATCTAAATAAAACTTTGAAAATCTAAACAAAACTCTGTGGCTTCTGAACAGCCACAAACTCTCTGACTCTGCTCTAGTGTTTTGTTCACCAAAAGAAAGCGAGTTGGCCTCAGGTCTCTTAAAAAGCAAAAAGCAACCTATGGAAGATGGTGTGGTACTTGAGGAACATTTGGGATCTGCTGAAAAATGCATCCTGTATTTTACTTCAAGAAAATACTCCCTTGTAATGTCAGGTAAGTGAACAGCCCTCAGAGACACATGTACACACAAAGTGAAACAAAACAACCTGGAATGAATCCCACGAAAATGTTGTCTGATGACAGAACACATTTCTGTAATACAACCTTTTATTAAAAATAGAAAAAAAAAAGCAGACTTACCCATGATTATCTATATCCTCTCGCCCAAGTGACTTGGAATAAGAAAACGGTGTCACTCATCTTGAAGCCATCTTGGCATCAATAACGGAGTGGGTAGAGTGAGACTCTGGACCAGCTCATAGGTGGACCCCACCTCATCCTGTCAAGACCACCAAGAAGGAGGACATGAAGAAGGTACAAAGATCCTGGAGAGACACTGGTTTGTCTCAGTTTCTCAAAATTAGCTCAGACACATTTCCTGAGAACCTTTCTTAATGCCTCAAAAAGCAGAAAAGAAAATCTTCACAACAAAGGCTGAAATGGATCCCCATCTCCACTAAATTTTTCGAAAGTTCAGGAAGTATATAACCTGATAACCTAAACAACTAACTAGAAAAACCTCAGTTCCAATGCTACA